TTCTCTCTTCTCTCTTCTCTCTCTTCCTCTCTTCTCTCTTCTCTCTCTTCCTCTCTTCTCTCTCCCTCTTAGTTTTCCCTCTCTTTCTATCTCTCTCCCATGATCTCGACCCCCATCCCTCTCTTTTCTATCTTCTTTCTTCTCTCTCTCTTCTGTCTATCTTACCCCATCGGACAAGGGGCTAAGCCCTCAGTCCCCCTCTTTTCTCTCTTCTTTCTTCTCTCTCCCTTCTATCTGCTCCCTCTCTCACCCATCCCTCTTTCTCTCTTCTTTCTTCTCTCTTCTTTCTTCTCTCTCTCTTTCCTCCCTTCCCTCTCTCTTGTCTACCCTCTCAGATCGACGGTCTCTCTTACTCTCCTCTCTCTCTCCTACCCTCTCGGACCGACTAAGCTACCAATCCCTCTCTCTTTCTCTCTTTCTATCTTCTCCCTTCCTCTCTCCCTCTCTTCCTCTCTCTCTCTTGCCTACCCTCTCAGACCGGCAGCTAAGCCGTCGGTCCCTCTCTCTTTCTCTCTCTCACTCTCCTTCTCACCCATTCGATCGGACTATAGGCTAAGCCACTGGTTCTTCTCTCTTTCATGCTCTTTGTCTCTCCCTCACTCTCTTTCCCTCTCTCGCTTTCTCCTCCTCTCTCTCTCTCGATTTTCTCTCACTCTCTCTCTTTTGTTTTCTCTTTCTCTCTCGGTCCTCTCTTTCTCGCTCTCATTTTCTCTCTATCTCTCTGTTTTATGCTCTCTTTCTCTATCCCTCATCTTCTCTTTCTCCCTCTCGATCACCTTTCTGTCTCTCTTTCGTGCTCTCTTTCTCTCTCTCTCTTTTTTGTTTTCCCTCTTTCTCTCTCTTTCACACTCACTTTCTCTTTGTTCCTCGTCTTCTCTCCTCTCTCAATCACCTTTCTCTCTCTTTCAGAATCTCTTTTTCTCTCCCTTGTTTTCCCTCTTTCTCTCTCTCTCTTTCACTCTCTCTTTGTATCTCACTCTCCCATGTTTTTCCTCTTTTTAGTTCTCTCAGTCTTCTTTCCCTCTCTCTCTTTCTCGCACTATTTCTCTCTCCCCCTCGTTTTCTCTCTTTCTCTCTCGATCTTCTTTCTCTCTTTCTTTTACACTCTCTTTCTTTCTTCCTCATTTTTGCTCTTTTTCTCTCTTGATCTTCTTTTTCTCTCTCCCTCGTCTTCTCTCTATCTCTCTCTCTTTCGCATCTTCTTCTCTCTCTCAATTTTCTCTCTCTATCTCTCTCCTGATCTCTCCTTCGCTCTCTCTCTCCTGATCTCTCGTTCACTCTCTCTCTCATTCTCTCTTTCTTCCTCCCTCTCATTTTTCTTCTTCACTATCTCAATTACTCTCTCACTCTCCTTCCCCGTTGGTTCTATCTCTATCTCTCTCTCTCTTTCTCTCTATTTCCTTCCCTCTTTCACGCCCTCTTCTTCCCTCTTTCCCACTCGATTTTTCACTTTCTCTCTCGCTCTCTCTTTCTCTCACTCTCTCGGTCTTCTTTCTCTCTCTATCTCTCCCTCTCCCCCTCTCTTTCATGCTTTCTTCCCCTCATCTTATCTCTTCTTCTCTCATTTCTATCTATCATCCTCCACTTTTCTTCTACTCATATCTCTCGTCTTTCTCTCTTAACATTTATGCATATCACCCTCATGTCTCCCCTTTTATTCTTTTCATAAAATATTCTCTTATTATCATTTTTATTAATATTTTTATTATTGCTATTACTATAAGGCTATTTGTTAGTTTGACGACGGAAGGCTGTCGGATTGACAAATGGTCCTTTATCCCCCCCCCCCCCTTTTCCTTAAATGATCTTCATCCTTCCCCCCATTATACTCTCAATAAATCACCCATCTAACAACAAATTAGGGTCTTCCGACCCACTTCCTTGGCCATCTCATACATGTGTGTTCACAAGACGCAGAGTGCAGTAAGGGTGCCAAAGTCGAACCAGCCTCAAGCTAGGAGGCTTTCCGTCGTGATCTAAGAGTGCGTCCCGCAAGCCCAAACATCTCACGAACCCATTGTGAGGTCCCACCTCACATCCTCTAATTCTCTCTCGCTAATTGGTACCTACCCGCACGCACACCACATGCACTGCGGTTTCCGAGAGAGTGATCTCGGACTGGACCCCATATTTGGGTCCCCACTCACGATCTTTAACCTGCCAAGATTGAGGCCCAACCAACGTGGCATCCAAATAGGCTACATTTGTGGGCAAGGGGCAATGATGCACTCACTATCACTGGAAGAAATTTGCAAAGATTACATCATACAATGGCAAAAAAAATCTCAAATAGATTTGTCCTACATAATCTCACCATCAGTCCTTCTAATATCAAAGCAGGCTATGGTATAGTCTCGGTTTCCTCTATTCGGTAGGCGGACTAGAACTATAGAGTAGTTGAGAACACCTGTTGATTCACCTAGTATATTATTTTCTTTATTCGTCAATGTCCACCAATACCGTCGTCATAAAAAATTCTAATAAAATTTGGCCCAATATGAGGTCACAATGGTAGTAGAATTTATGCAAAAACCCTCAATTTCTTTCCTCCAAACTTCTCTATAATTTTTTTTATATTTTCTCTATGCAAAAATTTACTTTTATGGGCCTTCATAAAAGAAATATTTTTGTGATGAAAATACCAGTTAAGATAAGGAGAATGCCATATGGGAGTGATTTTGCATCGTGTCCCAACACTTCCATCCATCAACTAACCATTTAGGAAAATATTACAAAAACATATAAAATTTAAAACCTTAAACAAACGAAAAAAAGTTGCAGTGGCTTTCAAACATTGGAATATACCTTAAAAAAAGCCAAAAATAAAAAACCTTTTTCCCCCTTCCTAGTCCATCCGATGTTCTCCTTTACTCTCAACCAAAACATCTACCGAATACTTTACGCAGATAACCTGATTTAACCTCCTGTTGTTTTCTATTGCTTTGGGTGGACTAACTGAAACATTATAGACATGAAAATAAATAGAGAACACATTACTCCAACATTTCCAAATGGGGGATCAAGAAAGTTTCGTGCCCTTTTTATTACAGTCCATGCTGTCTTTACGCGGGCAGGTAGAATCGCGTAACCACTACACACATTCAAACAAACCTAATCTAACCCACATCCACCTCATGTGCGAGTACATGATCCTCAGGACAACGCTGTGCTTATACTCCCTCAGGTAAATTACCTCATCTCGAAGATTTTTGTACATATGAAATGTGCCATCGACATAAGAATAACTAAAGGAGTAATTCCCAAACAAAAAAAGGAAGTGGATTTTAAGTTCTCAATACTTCAGTCCTGCCATCCAAAAATTGAAACTTTTCTATGTAATATGGGTACAATTTTTTTTATCTTTTTTAGCACTTATAATGGGTATGAAAAGTTTTTTTTTGGATATGCTAATGGTGGGAATGGAAGGGTGGAATGGTATGTTGAGGCATCCCCCTTAACAAACCCCGCATCACCCCCGTTCTTGGGTATGAAAGCATTTATTTAATTTTTTTGAAAATAAACATGATTGCTTGGCCGAAGAGATTACATCCCCAAATTTTGCGGTCCTAGTACTGCTCCTATAGGGCCTTACCACATAGGAGGAATCCCAAAATGCTCCCAAGGGAGCATAAAATCTTTTTTAAAAAATAATTTAGCAATAGCAACCCCTCTTCGCTTCAAACTAACCCAATATTTCTAATCTAAACCACTATCTGCCATATTACACATTTAATAGATATACCCCGTCTTATATAAGCTCTCCTATCTTTCTGACATTTCAAACCATCATCTCTAGAGACATCGAGTAAAAGAGAAAAAGAAATGGTGAGCCCCCCTCAATCATGCACCAAGGCCTGCGCATTGTTAGCACTAGTGATGGCTACTACGTTAGGCCATGCGAGCTCCATTAGACACCTCAATGAGGATGCCAAAGCACCCCAAATTACACCAACTAAGGCAACAGCGGTAGCTCCACCCACCATTCCTCCACTTCTAGTACCTCATGGAGCAACAGATGTTGCTCCAGTGGCTCAACCAGATCACACGACCGCCAGACAACCGACACTCACTTTCTTCATGCACGACATCATCGGTGGCTCCAATCCCTCAGCTATTGCACCGATCATCACCGATCCATTCAACGATCCAATTCCCTTATCAAAGTCTGGTGGTACCATTCCCCCTGATGCAGGTATTCATATACCCAACACCAACCCTAAACCGTCGGCAACCGACAATAATCCTAATACTGGGTTTCTCTTTGAGGCTGGTCATGATGACACAACTACCCAAACTAATGGCATCCCTTGCGATTCAGTAATGGGACACCCTTTGCTCACAGCAACTGGTAGCCTCCAGCATGGGACGATCATGGTGATCGACGACAAGCTCACCATAGGGCATGAGTTCGGGTCCTTGGTAGTGGGAAAGGCACAGGGATTCTTTGTATCAGCCTCTGAAGATGGGAGTAGCCTTATGATCATATTAACAGCTTTGATGGAGGAGGGTGGGGAATATGGGGGTAGCATAAGCTTCTTTGGGGTGTATAATATTAAGGAGCATGTGTCTCAAGTGGCAGTGGTTGGAGGCACCAGCAAGTACCATGGTGCCAAGGGCTACGCGACGATCCAATTCCTTCCACCGACCGAGGACCACGCAATGGATGGTGTGCTCCAATTCAATGCATACCTCACTTAGTTCTTTTCGACCTCTTCAAAGCTTTTTTCTCCATTTCTATCTTCTTCTTCTCCATCTTCTTCTTCTGTGTTTTTTTTTTTTAACAAGCATCTGATCCTTTTAGTGTCAATGCTTCTCGCTTCTGACCTTATGAAATTCTCTGGCTTAGATTATCTTCCATCATCATCATGGAGCTTGGTTTTTCCACTTTCTACTCAACTTTTCTCTACTTTGCTTGGGAAGAAAATCTGGCATTGCATGCCTTCATCTTTTCTTGCGAAATATGGTGTGGTAAATGTTTTTTAAATCCCCCCAACTTCATGCAACCTGGAGAAATACTTGTTTTCTCATGAAAAGTGACAGGGATGGAATAGGTCCCCACAATACTTTACTAATGAAATGTTATATAATACAATAAAGCCTCACTGTAAATAACTTTGACCGATTGGGATGGAATTTACAACCAGAGCACGAGAAAGCATTGTTTTCCTTGGTCATGATCAATTCATAGATGGCACTAGGGGTGTTAATGGACAGGCCCGGGCCTGTTAACGGTCATGTAGAGGGCCTGTTAACCGGCTGGTAACGGGGCCATACAGGGCTGGGCAGGGCTTTTGACGGGCCGGCCTGGAAAAGGCCAGAATGCTTCGTTGGGTTCAATAAGGCATGGCCGAAACATAATCCGACCCATTTAGCATTTACTATAATGCCACACCTATGAAATAAGGTTGTTTCCTTAGGAGTGCATTTTTGACCTAAAAAGGAAAACCCTTTCTCCCTTTCTTATATTTTGTGACCCAAAGAGAGAGAGAAACTCACTTAAGGAACCTGTCAGCCCTTATATAGAAAGGCTTTTATATATGGGTGAAGGGCTAACACTTTCCTCAACAACTTGAGACCCATTTCAAATGGAGAGAGAGAGAGACCCATTTCAAATGGAGAGAGAGACCCGTTCACTTGGAGAGAGAGAGACCCATTTCACTTGGAGAGAGAGAGAGGATCAGCATGACTGCATGAATCTCTTTTGAATCGAGAAAACCAAGGAAATGGTAATAGTTTCATTGAATTTGAAGAGGACATAGAACCCATAAGAGCTTGGGTGAGTTCAATAGATAGTTTGTGGTTGAATCGAAGAAGCTGTGGTATTTGGCAGGGCCTGCTATATTCACATCGACATGTGAGTACTCGCTGCGTGCTATCACCCAAGAATTTCCAGGCCATTTGGGTACCCATGATCACTCTCTAAAACTCGCTCTCTAGAAATTTGCAGGCCATTTGGGCCAGGTCTTATTTGTCCATGGGTTTAAATTTGGGAAAAGTTTATATAAGGTTGCAACTTTAAAATATAGAATCACATATGCACCTCAAAAATCTATCTGGAACGTTGTTTTAATGTTGAAAAACCCTCTAATCGATCGCGATATTAGATCATCTCGGATATCGCGATGCATGAATATGAAAAAAAAAGTTTTTGAGTCACGAAAATAGTACATCTTGTAACACATTGTCTAGACCGTCAATTTTCAAGGATTTCATGTATTTATAGATCTACTTGATTTGAATCATTTTTGGAATTTAAAATTTTCTAATTACCTACGAAAATAGATTGTAAGATAATACGAAGTTTTTTTACCACAAAATTACATGTTATAATAAAATTTTAATGTGCACCTTAATTGGATTGTTTAAAGTTGCAACCTTATAGATACCGCACCGTTTAAATTTTTTTTTAAAAAAATAGCAAATTCTTTTTTTACTTACAACGAATTTTTTTTTTTTAAGGCCGGGCCTGAGCTGCGCCGGGACAAGCCCAATAGGCTTAATGGGCCTTTCTGGGCCAAGCCATATTCCATCAATTGGGGTTATAAATTTTCTAAACAATTGGGCGCTTTAATTTTCTAAAAAATAATAAATAAATTTTTTTCCCTTGCAAGAAAAGCTTGAAGAGAAATATTAAAAATAAAAATAAAATAAAATAAAAAAGGCAATGGGCTTTTATGGGCCAGACCTTATTCGACAATGGGAGATTCAAATTTTCTAAAACAAATAATTTAGCAAATTTAATTTCCCTTGTAATAAAAGTTTGAAGAGAAAGATTTAACCAAAAAAAAGACATCGGGCCGGAGTTGGGCCTTGTCAGGCTTAATGGGCCTCTTCTAGGAGGAGCCTTATTAGCTCTTTTTTTTATTTTTTATTTTTTTACAACAAAAGTTCGCAGAGGATAATTTTCCTTTTTTTTTTTCAAAAAAAAGGTTTGGCCTAAGTTAGGTCAGGTCAGGCCAAACTTTGCATAAAGTGTCGGGCCTAGCGGGCCAGGGCCAGGGCCGGGCGTCTATACATTTGAGGCCTATCTACAAGCCGGGCCCGACCGGGCATGGCCAGGTCAATCCTGGGCTTTATCGGGCTCCTGATCAAACCAACCCTGGCCCTACCCATTGCCCACCCTACATGGCACTCCTTTATATGCAAGTCAGTGTTTGAAAACGCGTCCACCCAATGGGAAGCCTGCCTCAAGGGCCTAGGGCTAAGAGAGCTCTAGGGACCCGCTTATATGGCTAAGGTGCCACCTAGTCAAGCGACCAACACCTTGGCCAAAGGCTTTTTCTGGCATTGGATGAACGTCAAGAAAAATACGATGAACAAGACAAAAAATGAGAATCCCATAATTGCAATCCAAATGGGATTGTATATTCCCCATAAAATTTATAAGAAAAAGATCTCCTTATTTCCTATTTTTAACTTTCATATCTATGAGACTTAATAATTGAAAATATTATTTGTAAGCAAAAGGTCTCCCTGTTTTCTATCTTACAACCTCCTCGACCCCTTTGATCATAAATTTTTACCCAAAAAAACACTAAAATGACACCCTACACAAACTCTCTCTCTAAGACTCCATATCTCTTTCTTCGCTTCTCGATAAGTTTACCAGCCAAGGGGTTTAGCTTGAGCTCGAATACGAGCACACCTTCTTATGTGTGAGAGATGGAGTTTTAGAGAGAGAAAGATAGAGTGAGATGGAGTTTTAAAGAGAGAGATGTGTGAGAGATGGAGTGAGAGAGAGATGTGTGAGAGATGGAAAAGCTGAGCCAATCGTGTTTGATTAGCTTAGAATTGATATTTCCATTGGAATTGAGATTTTCATGGGATTCGTCAAAGGTCATTTTAAGCCTAAATTTTCAAAATGTCAATTCCACCAAAATAAGTGGAATTGACATTTCATGGAAGTGATCCATTTTGCTGTTGAAGAACAAAAATAATATTAAAATTTTAGAGAGAGAAACTATATCAAGTTTTAAAGAGAGAAAATATATTAAAATTTTAGAGAGGAAAACTATATCAAATTTTAGAGAGAGAAAATATACGAAATTTTTGAGAGAGAAAATATACAAATTTTTTTAGAGAGATAAACTATCTCAAATTTAAAGTCTTAAGGAGACCATATTAAAATTTTAGAGAGAGAAAGTATTTCAAATCTTAAATTTTAGAGAGAGAAAGTATCTTAAAATTTTAGAGAGATAAACTACATTAAATTTTAGGGAGAGGATCTACTTAAAATTTTTTGAGAGAAATATCTCAAAACATTTAGAGAGAAAACTTATTTCAAATTTTAAGTTTTAAAGAGAGAAAGAGAGCATATTAAAATGTTAGAGATTAGAAACTATATCAAATTTTCGATAGTGAAATTACCAAAATATTTTAGAGAGAAAAACTATCTCAAATTTTCAGTTTTAGAGAGAGAAAGTACATTAAAATTTTAGAGAGAGAAACTACTTGAAAATTTTAGTGAGAGAAACTATCTCAAATATAAAATTTTAGAGGTAGAAAGCATCTTAAAATTTTAGAAAGAATAACTATATCAAATTTTAGAGTGAGAAAGTACCTAAAAGTTTTTAGAGAGAGACTATCTTAAAAATTTTAAAAAGAAATTATCTCAAATTTTAAGTTTTGAATAGAGAAAGTACCTTAAAAGTTTAGAGAGAGAAACTATATCATATTTTAGAGAGAGAAACTACTATAAATTGTTTAGAGAGAGAAACTATATGAAATTGTTTAGAGAGATAAACTATCTCAAAAATTTTATAGAGAGAAACTATCTCAAATTTTAGATTTTAGAGAGAAAGTATCTCAAAATTTTAGAGAGAGAAACTGCATCAAATTTTAGAAAAAGAGCATATAAACTTTTAAGGGAGATAAACTATTTTGAATTTTAAGTTTTTGAAAAAGTGTGTATTAAAATTTTAGAGAGAGAAACTATCTCAAAAATTTTAGAGGGAGAGAGAAATAATTTGCATTTCCAAAAAAATAATATTCCAGACAATCCAAACAGGGAATTTGCATTTTCTTGATTTCTACGAGATGCAATTCAAACAAGGAATTGACATTTCCAGAAAATCTCAATTCCATAAAATCCCAATTTAAAGATTGACTTTTATCAGGATTGAAAAATCTAGGGATCCAAACGGGCCCTTAGATAATAGTCTAGAATTGGGTGAGAATCAAATTTTGGAAATAGAAAAAATTAGTTTCATGATTTATGGAACTTGTGGGAAACCCTTTGTATATAGACTTGTTTTTTAGTTGAATGAAAATAGAAAAATAGTGTGAAAGTTGTAGAGAGAGAGAGAGAGAGGGAGGGGTTCATAGGAGCTAAGGTAATTTAGGAGCTCTGCTTTGGCCATAGCATCTCCTTCTTGTTTTGGGTTTATCAATATATATTCATTTATTTGGATATATGTAATTTTTTAGTAATTTCCTCGAGTGCTGTTATGAATAAAGATCGCCCCGATGTGACTTACTTCCTATCGTTATTTTTCTTTCTAATTAATTTAAAAAACTCCTAAAGTTTGTACTCCTAAGGGTTGGTTCCACTTTCTTCTCCCATATCCCATTTTTTAAAACACCTCTAAATTTCCAAGAAAGTCGTAAGTTATATTGATTCCTGTGGCCATTATAATGTAGGTGCAAAAACTAGCTACTCGATAAGCTTTTGCCTAATTTTTTTTTTTAAAAAAAAAAAAAAAAAAAAAAAAAAAAAAAGAAAAAAGTATATCTAGCATTTCCTCCAACCCCTTCTTGCAAAAGGCATATCTAATATATACCTAACGTATAAATATATTAAATAGGAAAGTATATAATGAAACTATTTATCTTGGAACAAGATGGTCATAATTAATCTACTATTGAATGTGAAATTGTGAAATTGGGTATCTATATTTATTTTATTGATCAAGCTCAAAGTTCAAAAAAAAATTTATGGAACTATTGTGAAACACCTAAACTATCATATTTCACATCCGATGGTTATAACTAATTATAACCTCACATTTAGTTATAACTAATTATAACCTCCCTATACCAAAAGTAAGTGGTCCCATTGCATACGATCCCATATTAAATTCACATTAAACGGAAAGCCATTCACTGTAGATGCCCAAGAGCCACTTCTAATGTTTCAAACTTTCAATTCTGGTAAATTTTCATTTTATCTTTAAAAACCTTTTCAATCCCCTCTTTCACCATTAAAAAACAAAAGATGAAGGAAAACATGAAGCCACAAACAAGTCTTATCACTCCAGCACAACATCAAACATTACAAGAACAGCCTTCTAACCATTAGCACAATGCACCACCGATAGATGCCACACCCAAATCTAAGAAGCCTGACGCCCGGACCATAACTAGTGCTGCATGAGGTAGACTGTGAACTGGAGGAGTGTCTCGACACCATCGGTTGCGTGATCATCGGCCGGATGGAGAGACTGCACAGTCGCGTAGCCCTTGGCGCCCTGGTACTTGCCGGTGCCGCCGATGACCGCTACATAAGACTCATGAGCTACAGTGCGGTGCACGCCAAAGAAGCATATGCTATCCTCATACTTCCCTCCCTCCTCCAACAGTGCAGTCACTGCCATCGTGTGACTGCTCCCGTCTTGGGAGCTTGCTACATAAAAACCTTGTGCCTTCCCCACAACTGATGATCCGAGCTCATGGCTCTCTGTGAGCTCATCGTCAATTACGGTAATCGTGCCAAACTGGAGGCCTTGGACAGTCGCCCCATTGGGCAGGTTGGAGGCTGTAACAAAGGGGATTGAGCCAGTTGGGTTGTTCCCGTTCTGAGCGACGGTGCCCCCGAGACCGGTCACTAGGGGCAGTCCACCATTCATATTACCATTGGTGGTGACAGGTAGCGCAGGGTTGTTGTTGTTGGGGATGGCAATGCCTCCATTGATGGGCAACACGCCATTTGCCTTAGCAAAGGGCAACTGGCCGTTGACCACGTTGGCTACGATTCCAGTGACAGGCCTTGTGGAGGGGTGGGTGCCTCCAACAATGTCATGCATGAAGAAGGTGATCGGGTGTTCGGCGTCTACCGAAATTGGCTGGGCTGCTGAAGCAGCACCTGTCGGGACAGGCTGGGCCACCGGAGCAGTGATCATCGGGATTGGCTTGGCCAATGTGGTGTCCGTAGGGATCGGCTGTGTCACTGGAGGAGTGTCAGTCGGGACAGGCTGAGCCTCTGGAGCAGCTCCTGTTGGGATCAGTTGGGGCACAGGGGAAGGAGTAGACAAGGTAGCCGGGACCGCGGGAGTTACAGTAGAAGGAGTAGATACGGTAGCCAGAACCGCAGGAGTTGTCGTAGCAGGCAAAGTTAGCGCCGGTGCCAGTGCTCCAGGCGCAATCGCTGCCGCCGCAGGGGTTCCCTCGTCTAAGATCCTTGCAGAGATGGCGCGGTCCAACACAATGGCCACCATCAATAGAAAAGCTATCTTGAGGAAGGGAGAGCACTTGGGGTTGGTCATCTTTGGCTCAAAGAAGGGGGGATAGGAAGGCAAGATGTGTTCGATGTTTTATGGTGTGAAGGACTTGGTGTGTATATATATATATGCATATAACTTATTTGTAGTGAAGTTGTTAATATTGGAGTTGTTTGATGCATGGGAGACAAGAGGTGGTGGAGTGGATTACAAACTACTTACCTTTTCAAGAATAGGGGACTGGTATGTTGCTTGTAATAAGATTAACAAAAGCAATTCCATGTGTTTGGATCCTCTCCTAACTGAGGATGGATAATAAATAATGATGAAGTAGTAAGTAACCAATATGGGTGCGGTTTTTATAGAGCCGAGGCTCTAAACAATCAAATTAGAACGCACCTTCAAATAGTGTCGAGAAATATGGTTTCAATACTAAATATTTTTGTAATAGCCTTGAAATATATTTTTATGTTTAATTATAAAATTTAAAGATTCAAAAATAGTGTAGATCGAGCAGATCTATGAAAATCTTGAAAATTGACGGACAAAAAATGCATTACAATATGCATTATTTCCAAAATTGAAATTCATTTTTTCTCATGTCCGTCCATCTTGATGCCGAGATGATCAATTTGATGATATTTGAGCATCGAAACAACCTCTTCTAATGAAATGTTTGAGGTAGACTCTAATTTATTTGTTTAGAACCCAAGCTCTATATAACCTTTTCCCAATATTTTAAACTCTTATCTAACCAACCCACAAAAGCAACCTCTGAATGGGGGCCTCTACGCTTACCGTGCCTTTCTGGCTTCTGGATTGGATTTTCTTCCAGGTCTCCAAAATAGTCATGGAGTAAGGATTTGGAAGACCCATTGCGGGACCAATTTATGCTCTTGGTCCCACCAGCAAAATACTCTGTTGCGGGGGCGGGCTGGCCCACGGGCTTTTTAGTGTGGGCCTTACTTCAGCAGGGGTGGGCTGGCCCACGGGCTTTTTGGTGTGGGCCTTACTTCAGCAGGGGTTGGTCTCATAGCAGGGCCCATGGGCCAGGTTGCATAAGGTTGCAACCTCAAACAATCAAAGTAAATGTACCTCCAAACTTTGTTATAAGATCCAATTCTGGCGTCAACAATTTTGAGGATAACTGGAGAAGCCATTTTCATATCTAATTATAAAATTTAAACTCCTAAATTAGTTCAAATCAAGCAATATGAAATGTTGAAAATAGACGGTCCAAGTGATGTGATGCAAGATGTACTATTTTTGGGAGTGAAAATCTTTTTTTCTCTCATATCCATACGTTTTGATGTCAAGATCATCAATTATATGATTTTCCAGCACCAAAATAGCGTGTTCCAATGGATTTGTGCAACTTAGTTCTACAATTTAAGGTGTCAACCTTATATAAAGGCTTTTCATGCATAAATGAAAAAAGTTTATAAGGTTTCAACCTTATAGAAATAAGCCCCACCTCAATAACTAACCAAAAAAAGTTGTTTTGGTGTTGAAAATCCTCTAATCATGTCGACCTTGATATCTATGTATGTGGGAAAAAAAAAGGATTTCAAATCTCATAAATAGTACATATTGTAATGTATTATTATCTGGACCGTCCACTTCCAGATTTTAAAGTATTTGTAAGTTTGCTTAATCTATACTATTCTTGAATTATACGGAAATAGATTTATAGACCATCATACGGATTTTCGGCATTGAACAGCAGCATTTGACATCATTTTGAAGTGTGTCTCACTTTGATTATTTAAGGTGCCAATCTTATACACGGCGACCCATTTGTAAGGTTTCTCAATCCATATCTCCAGAAGCCCTAGATCGAATGGGTAATAGGATGGCTTCCATGTGGCCATCCAATTTGTGAGGGACGCATATGATCATTTCCCATATATGTAAAGTATTTACTAAAACATTTTTTAAAAACAAGTAAATTATTAACTATACATTTTTATTATTTGCATTTGGCCCCAACCAGCCTTGCTGAGCGTGATTTTAGAGGCACAAGACGGCCTTGGCCCTCTACTATGAAGCCGGCAGGGACAGGCTAGGCCTAAAACAATATTTAAGCCTAAGCTGCGTTGGGCGTAACCATCACCATTTCGGGCCTCGCATGTTAACACAACTAAGTGTAGCATCATAAAATAAAAAAGAAGAAATTGTTTCTTACGATAAATATGATGCTCCAAAAAGATTATTGCTTCATAAATGATCCTCGCCTGTATATTTCATAGCCATCCAATATAGAGTTTTAAGAGCTCAATATTTTTTACTTTTTTCTCTCTGTTTAAAAATGGAAAAGTATACAGTGAGACTATTTACTTTTGGCATAAAGTGGTCACAATTAATATTGACCATTAGATGTGAAATTAGGTGGTTGTATTTATTCCATTGATCAAGCTCAAATGTTTAAAATTTTTTTTCGAATTTTGAAGCGCAACCTAGCTATCATATGTAACATGAGATGATTATAAGTAATTGTGACCTCCTTATACCAAAAAAAGTAGATGTACAATATGCTTTCCAGTAAATCTTTTGACCTCCTTATATTCTTTCCAGTAAATCTTTTCAGAGAGTAGATATATATGATGCTCCTTCCCTTCGACATCCTTTTACCGCACAAACTTTGCTATATTTCTGAAATTTTGATACCTTTTACACAACTTTATCTGAATTGTGACACCCCATGTGTCAACACTTTTGACGCTTATTAACTGCCCCAACACCCGAGATTGACACGTGGATTGACTGATACCGATGTCAAACTGGTTGTCAAAAGTATTGGCTTACGGGTAATGTATGGAGACATGAATATCGAGTGTTTTAGGTTGGTGAAGAGCATCCTACCACCTCAAGTCAAAGCATTCAAAAATTGTTTTTGAGAAGAATTCAAATCTTTATCAATCAAAGACTGAAAGAAAATTACAGAATCCAAAACCAAAGTCTCAGTCAAAGCGAACCCATCTTTAACAAGATAATCGGCCACAACATTGGCCTCACGAAATACATGCACAAAGGAAAAAGCAAAAAACCTATATAAATCCAAAATCTGCATCAAAGAAGACCTCAATTCCCAAGGTGGATTATGAATCCCATTACATCACTTAATGACATTCATCGAGTCTCCTTCTACCACACAAAATTGACCCACCCTTCTTTTCACGAAGAGTTTTAAACCATGAAGTAAGGCCATCATCTCTAGATAGTTAGCCGTTTTTTCCCCTAATGGACCTGCATAAGAAAAAACAACATTACCATTCCAATCTCTCGCTACACATCCAAAACCAATAGGCCCTGGATTCCCAAAGGAGCTGCCATCAAAATTAAGCTTAGAGGTCCCTACCAATGGTGGCATCCATCTACCCTTCGGGCTGCTCTTGAATGTGCCCATCCGGAAAAGATTTGCTAAGTTTCTCTTAACATCCACTTCAAACACATCAGACCCCACCTTCGTCACAAAGCAAGAAAGAGAAATAGAATGTCAATTTTTTTCCAAGACTCTCTCCATTGGCAGGCAGATACCATAAAAAACACAACGATTTCTTTCCTTCCTAACTTCCCACAAAATCAGACCCCTCGCAATCTGCAAAATAACCGCTCCAATTTTGGGAAGCCAGTTGACCGACAAGTTTGAGATAACCCCTATTACCTCCGTAGGCATCACCATCGCGACCCCCAGTTTATCAAAACACCATTGCCATATTTTAGAGGTAAAAGAACACTGAAGAAACATATGAGGACCTGTTCAGCATCATCCTTACACAACAAATAAATATTAAGCAATATCCTACCTCTTTTAATGAGATTGTCAATAATGAGTACCTTATTTTGCACTACCAACCATTGAAAGGCTTGAACCTTCAAAGGCAACGACCATTTCCAAAGGGCAACAATTTCAGGCATAGACCATCTCCATCGGTCATGGAACAAAAGTTTATACATAGACTTCACCGAATATAGCCCATCTGAATCAATATTCCAGATAACTACATCTGAGGCATGCTGTGGAATAAAGACTTCTTGAAGGAGAGAAAACAAGCTCACATACTCCCGAAAAAGCTGCTTAGAGATCCTATTATAAGGCAAAACAATATTTCAAAAAACCTGGACTCCTCTGCATTCATAATGATCAGCAACAACAGTATTGGGGTTATGCATGCGCTATGAAACTGATGGAAAGAGATATTTATGTGGAGAAGACCCCACCCATTTATGGTGCCAAAAGGATATATTACATCCATCACCCAGACACCAACGAATATATCTATGTATCAAGGATTTGCAAGAATTTGTGAACCTCCAGCAATATGACATATCCCTAGTGCCATTCCGCGAACCAACCCACATTTTAAATCTATCATCACCATACTTGGCAGCAACTCAATACCACAACTGGTCTTTTAGGTTCAGGCTTCTCCACAACCATTTACAAATTAGAGCCTAGTTGACTAGTTTGATTCTTCTTATACCCAGTCCACCCTCCTTTCTATGTGTGCAAATTCTATCCCAATGCAAAAGATGGAATTTTTTTGAATTTTCAAACAAACCCCAGAGAAAATTTCTCATCAACGCTTCAATTTTCTTAGCCACCCTAGGCGGAATTTGCAACAAGGACATCTAATAAATAGGTAAGTTAGATAAACATGCTTTAATCAGGGTGATCATTCCTCCCAAAGATAGATATTTGTACTTCCACATATCAAGCTTAACTTGTATTCTTTGAATCACTTTATCCCATACAGCCAAAGGTAATTGTCCATCTGAAATTGGTAAGCTCAAATACATAATTGGGAAGCTTTCCAGCTTACAACCCATCTTCGCAGCGATCTCAGAAAGCAAAGTCTCACCACAATTAATACCTACCACAACAGACTTCCCAAAATTAACCTTGAGCCCCAACGCCATTTCGCAACAGCTCAAGAACATTGCAATATTAGCCACCTAATCGAACCTAACCTGACAAAAAGCATAGTATCATCAGCATAATGCAAATGTGAGATACAAGGACCCCTAATGGGCAATTGGAAACCCACAAAATGACCACAAGCTACAAATGGTGATCACCCTGCAGAAACCGACTGAAACATTCTGCATAAATGGTGAACAAGAAAAGGGGTAGGCGATCACCCTGCCGAAGACCCTTGGAGGAGAGGAAAAACCAGTCAGGCTCCCCTTGAATAAAATAGAGAAGTGAGAAGATGACAAACAACCATTTATCCAAGTTCTCCACTTCTCACCAAAGCCCATGTTTTTCATGATTTCTAACAAAATGCTCCATTCCACCCTATCATAAGCTTTTTTCATATCCAGTTTAATCACAACCCTAGCTTCACCACTCAGAATTCTAGAATGAATGCATTCCTGAGCAATCAGGACACTATCAATTATCAATCTATCCTTGATGAATGCAGACTTTTGTGATGATGTTAGGTAGGACTATTTTAAGACATTCCGCCAGCACCTTGGCAATAATTTTATAAAACCTTGAAAGTAAACTAATGGGTCTTATATCACCAAGGCCTACAGTAACCAACCTTTTAGAAATAAGCACTCTATAGGAGGAATTAACCCCCCTGAATAGATCACCTCTTCTCATGAAATCACAGACCATATCAAACACCTCCCTACAAACCAAATTCTAAAATTTATGAAAAAAGAAGAAGGGGAACCCATCAGGGCCTGGTGCCTTATCACTAGGGAGGGCAAAAACTGCTTTCTTCACTTCTTCCATGGACACTTCCTTCTTAAGAAAAGCTACCATACCAACCATCAGGTACTTAAAACCCACTCTAGCTAAATGCGGGGTGACCCCACCTCCATAGTAAAAGCATCTTTGAAGTTGTTAACCACCGCGTCAGCCATCCCATTTCCATCCTCAGGATCAATTCAATTAATCAAAAGCCTAGAGACATCATTCTGACATCTCCTAGCATTTGCAATGGCATGGAAGAATTTAGTATTTAAATCACTTTCCTTCAACCATTTGATCCTGGAGCTCTGCTTCCAATACATCTCATCGATCCTGCGAAGCTCCTGTAATTCAATTGATTTAGAGCATCTCTCCAAGACCTACTTCTCAAAGATAACTCCTGAGATCTAGACGCAAGCATCCAAATCTACTAAGCACTTTACAACGTCATCAATTTTATATTTCACATGATATCTCTTATCACTCCGCCAAGCGATAAGCTTGTGCTTAACACTTAAAAGCTTCTTGTGGAGTTGAAAATCAACAGAGCCAAAATAGATAGAGTTCTCCCAAGCACTTTTAATAAAATCCACCACTCCTTTTTCAGCCAGCCACTCTACTTCAAAACGTATTTGGGACTAGTAGGAATAACTTTCGAGCACAGGAAAATGGGAGTGTGGTCAGAAGAAAGTCTAGGTAAGCCCTTTACCGCTGCAAGGGGAAAGAACTCTGACCACTCTGCAAACACCAAAAATCTATCTAATTTGGACATTGATAAGTTTGAGGCACTGCCATTAGTCCAAGTGAAAGATATGCCAGAAATGGGCAGATCTAGCAGAGCATGAGACTCAATAAATCTATTAAACATGCGCATGGAAGACGTAATCGGTCCACCATAGCTACTTTCATCAAGCCATCTAATGAAATTAAAATCCCCACCCAAACAAATAGGAAAAGAAAAACTCCTAATGAAAGTAGATATATCATTAATAAAAAGTTCTTTTTGAGGCAAAGCATGAGGACCATAAACATTTAATAAGCCCCAATGAAAATCAATACCCGGCCCCACAAAACCAGCCATCAGAAAATTATCCTTTTTAGCAGAGCAAAAAGACTGCAAAACAGTGGGATCCCACAAAATCCATTGCCCCACAAAAGCACCCACATAATCAACACCCAGAAAATCCACAAATCCAAGACCCCAAACTTCCCTAACACCAAAGATGGTGGGACTAAGAAGTTTAGTTTTCTGTAAAATCAAAACAGTAGGCTTGAAACGAGACACCAGAAACCGAACATCTTTCTTGTGATTGAGGTCACCTAGACCTCTAACATTCCAAGACAAAATATTCATTAGAAAGGAGAAGAAGAGCATGAACCTGGTTCACCCCTACTCGCACCAAAGATAGCTTATTCAATAGCTCTCTTCAAGTCATCGTCTAGAGCTTCCTCCACATCCAAAGAATGCCTCGAACTCGCCTCAATAACCTGGTCATCAGAAATAACGATACCTCTAGCTTTCGAAGGAGCATGCACCATTCCCCGAGCCTGCAACCTTGTCGAGGACCTATTACCCTTCATGGGGGACTTGCCCTTGGATTTAAATTTATGCACACCAGCCACCGGAGTCTGAGCCGCACTTGTCAACAAATTGGGACTTGCACCCTGCTTCGTTAGTTTTTCAGCTTTATTTTTTGCAATGATCTCTTTAAAGATAGCTCCGATTGGGACATCAAAGACCATACCACAATCTGAGACCATGGATGAGATTATCTTCTCTTCCTCCCCGCTCTGCACCTTAGCTTCAGAGGATACGTTCCCAAAATCACCATCTGGCGCAGAAGGACTAACCCCATCCAACGGTGTAGCAAAATAAGGCGCAAAAGCAACAGCGTCTCCTCTTAGCGAATAACCTTAAGAGGGGTGGAGATTGCCACTTCCACCAAGGCGTGACCATGATCATCCACAAACGGTCCATTCTCTTCAACAGATTGAGAATCTAGTTCCACACAAGCAAGACCAATTTCAGGAACTATTTCCCCCTCCTCAAAGTCACAAACACCTTCATTCTCATCAACGATCACCATCGCTAAAGGATCGACCACCAATAGATTAAACATCGGCCTGGGAGACGAATGAGCCTTTCTTGCAGCACTGCGATGGAACAAAGGGTACATCTTGGCAACACCAAACAGCAGAAGATTGAAAGCCACCACAGAGGCTTGGTATTGACCTGCAACCACCACCGCCAATAGCCACAACACCAGGCTATGGGAGTACTTGTAAAAAGCCACCTTCTTACCAACAACAGGAAAGGGAGAAAGAGGCGGTGCCTTCCCAAATATGGCAAGCCGTACCGTAACACTTGGGATCTTCACACACCCCGTCCCTGAAGGTGGCTCCTCGGGACACAGCATTGACGAATGATCCATCACGACCATTCCCTCGTGTGGTCCCACAGGATCCAAACCTTCACATAGGCCCTCACTGTGTGAACCATCGACACTGTTCGTAACCGAAGCCATGATTTTTGCTATAGGGGAAAACACCCACCGAAATCCAACGTCTGATGATTTTCAAAATTTGAAACTCCCTCCTAATATTCTTAAGATGGCGGAGTCTTTTTCGGATGGGAACAAGCTTATCACGACCTCATGGAAAATCACATTTTTTCGTTGACCGTCATCGGACCTTCTGCCATGCTCCAATGTCCCCTGCAATTGGCAGCTGTGACTCTCTATGATAGGATGAGAGTTAGGAGTGTATGTGTTTGGGAGGTCGCACCCCCAAAACTTATATGAGGCACTACTCATTGGGACCCCTTTGGTAGTGTAGCGTTCTCTCGCCATAAGGCCAATTACGAGGTATGTGTTTGATAAGGTTAGTGCCTATCAAAAGCCCCAAAGCAAGCTGGGATTGTGTGCGTGTGTGAGGCAATATGCAATAGATTCACCTGTTAATGGTGCCTCTCTCCTGATTGTGATGATAGAGGTTCTACATATCAAGATTTGATTGACACGATAGGTAGGATTTCTACTTTAGAAGTTAGTTTAGTATCAGAATATTAGGTTTAGGATTCCTAGGAAATTTGAATAGAAATACACTCTAAGTCATACTTATCAAGAGCTAGCATCGAAGGAATTCATAGAACTTTAGAAAATACGGTTTCTCTTATGCAGCATCAGATAGAAAATTATAATATACACAAAACGTCAGTTACAAGGAATAATTGGACTCATCTGGTAAGTCGGTGAGATATGAGTGGACCTATTCGATACGTCGATAAAGATTAAGTAGACCCATCCAGGACGCTAGTGGGGTATATAGATGACCTACTTGAGATGCCAGTAGGGTACTTTGTGAAATCCTTTATATCATGTTAAACTAGGCATTTCTGTTAAAGGAAATATATATGCATTTTCTCATACTGGTTCAATATGCATTCAAATCTTTTGAATTATGTTAAATTGTGTGTTTCTAAATTTGAAATTGTTCTCCATGTATGCTCTTCCTTATATTATGCATTCGTTTAAAAAATATTTACACTCTCCAACCATGATTTTTAAGGATAACGATGGTCACTTACTGAGTAGCCAAACTCATCAAGCTATTGTGAATTTTTTTCAGAGTAATTGCAGCCGTAGTGTTCGTATGTATAACATGAGTAGCATGGAAGAAGTTTGTAGTCATGGATAAATTCACCTTTGTAACTTTTGTCTATCAAAGTTGTATATATATATATATATATATATATATATACTATCTATAGTTATTA